TTTATCCTCGGTTCAGTCAGTTTTTTTATTTGATTTTAGAGTCAATAACTCAACCTTTGTGAGATTTTGTGTGGTGTTTGTGTTCTGACCACTCTCTCCTCCTGGAATGCACCGCCTGCCTCGTCCACCATCATTCACCCTGGATCTGGTAACTTTGTTCTACCCTCCTTATCTTTCCTCCATTGAGGACAATGTAGTGCTTAAGTGTGGGGGGATGTTCGATTATGTATGCGTGTGAATGTTTGGCTGTATGTGTGTGCTTGGAGCCTAGTCCACTGTCCAAATTTTTAAATTTGAGGGCTCCAAGTACGTGTTTCCTTGCAAATTGCCTGCTCAGTATGCTTTGAATTGACAGTCTCTATAGTAATGCGCAACCTAGGGAGGTAGTGTAGCACTATGGAGGATGTTGAAGTATAAGATTTTTCCTATCTAGCTCTCTGATGTGCCAGTTGATTTTGTAAATTAGTGGAGCTAAGACCGTTAAATTCATGTGGTAATGCGGACTCTGTCTGGATTATGTTGTGGACTCGTGTATCGAACAGAGTGCTCATGTGAGAAATGAAAAGCAGTTGGTCCTCCATGTCGAAATCCTCAAAATCTTAAACATGGGGAAAGCCCAACATGCGCGGCACCATTCATTGCACAAAATCGGGTTTTGGAGGAGATTTTAGTGATCCTTAGTGGGGTACTCCTACAAGGTGAAGCTAAGCTGTCTCTAGTACAAGTAAAACTTCCACCCGTTGAACGGTGTGCCTACTCGAGGATGTGTTTTTAAGGGCACGGATAGAGCTTCCGACCCCCCTTAATTTCATTGACCCTCCACAGGAGTTGAGAAAAAGGAGTTAAAAGAAATTGCTCTTGCTCGACTAATAAGGGTCGATCGTGCAAAAGACTGCAGTTGGAACCCCTGCTAAGTGAAAGAAGAAAAAAACAAGAAAAATGTGAATGAAAGTGCAAAAAGGGGTTCCAACAGTGAAATGAAGTGAAAGAGCACCCCGGTACAACGAGTCCTTAGTTGTGAATGTTGTGAGTCCCTTTATCAATGAACTGACTATCCTACTTCTACTTCTTCTCATGATCCTGGCTTGAGTCTAGTACTCGCATTGAGAGAGATAGGGGACGTCTTAGAAGACCAGTTGACCTCGTAAGCTGCTTTATGATCTAGAAAATCCTCTACCGACGATCGGGGTTGTTTGTTGCTATAGAGGTCTGGAGATTTGCATTGGTTTGAGTTAGGTTTGCTTGGGGACAAGCAAACAGTTAAGTGTGGGGGAATTTGATAGACCGTTAATCGCACATGTTTTTACCCCTATTCTTGAGTCGTTTGAGATGTTGATTCTCGCGTTTTAGGCTTATTTCACGCTAGGTTGTGCTTGTTTGTGATATTTCAGGTCCTAGTACGTGAATGAAGGTTTAGGAACGAGTTCGGGCTCGATTGGATGAAGTTTGGACGTTTGGCGAGAAGTTGAGAAGCCACACGGGCATGCCTAAAAGCCACACGGCCATGTAGGGGACCCCTTGTGGCCGGGTGGAAATTCCAGGGAACTCACACGGGCACCCTGGAAGTCCACACGGCCGTGTGGGTCGTGGCTGTGTAGGAAGCCTGAAGCCACTTATCGAAACTCCCCGTTTTGACACTCATACGGGCAGCCTGGGAGAGTCACACGGCCGTGTGGCCTGGCCGTGTGAGTCGGGAAATTTTGGGTTTTAATCCAAATTCGTGCCAAAGGAGAGGGAGAGCTGGGTTTTGGATCCCAAACACCCAAGGGACGAACCAAAGAGAGAGAGGGCGATTTGAGGGCATTCTTGGAGTGGAATTGGAGGATTTCTTCGCCTTGGAAGCTCGAGGAACAAGCCCGGACTTGAAGACTGATCATCTTAAGATTCTTACTGCAGTCTCTCTCTTCTCTATGGAGTAACTTCCCCTCACTTAGGTTTTTAGGAACCCTAGCTATGTTTGTTTGATTGGATGATTGTATGAGTACTCTGACTTCATAATCTTGAGTTCATATTCAATCTATGCATGTTTTCATGATTCAATTATGCTTTAGTCGAGATTATTGATTCTGCTTTGATCCTATGAGAGCGAATACCTGATTAGGTCAATAGAGCACCATAGATTGATAGTATTGGATCGATTGCTTTTGTCGAGGGTTGATTTAGTGCTTTGTATCGATTCAGAACCTCTTTCGATAGAGGGAGTCTAGTTCAGAAGGCCTTTATCGGTTGTTCTAGAGAAGGATACGTCCCTCTAGGCAATTGACTCAAGAGGGCCTTGTTCCTTTAGTCGAGACTCAAGGTCTAGTTAAGGATTCTCTGCATTGTGAATGAAAGTGAAACAGGTTAGAGATCATCAATCATTAATCTGGCTAGTGGCTAGGGGGAATCATACCTAAGTGAGTTCCCAACCTGTAATTAGATTAACTTTAACTATAGTTTATTAGATTAGTTTTAGTTCTTCCGTCTTAATCTGGTTTGCTAGATAATGAACTGAAGCTGAGTAATTGTAACTCTAGAGACCCGTGGATTCGATATTTATTACTTGAGCCACTATACTGCAGTCTCTTTCATTGGTTACACTTGGCCATTGTTAGGTGTTGTGTCGTAGCGAGTCAGGCATCCAACTATTGGTGAGAATCTTGAGGATTTGAGATGGTGTTAGCAGGTAGAGTTCCCGACGCTCTAGTGGCATTGTGCTGGGCTATGCCCCTAATATGGTTCTGAAGGTCCTGCTGAATGGCGTTCTGGTTTCTCTGACCTGCCTCCAACTCATTGAATTTCCCTATGGAAAAATCCATGAACTGATCCATCTTGGCGAACATCTAGTACTGGTACTCACGAAGGTCGTCACCATATTTTGCAGCTCGACATCAGGTCATCCTATGCTGGAGCTGTTGTCGGCTGCTGAGTTTGTCGTTTCTGCGACTGAAGCGGTTTCCCCTGTCTGGGCTAGAATGGTTGTTGTTGATAGAACTAACCCTGGTGGTTCTGGTACTGCTTCCTCTAGGGAAAGCCACGAGTCATTTATGAAAAGCCAGAAGGCTTAGCGGTGCTGCTGTTGCTGCCACCCCATGAGAAGTTGGGGTGCTGGCGCCACCCCTCGTTATAAGTACCGTTGTAGGGGTCGAGGCACCGAGCATTGCCAATGAAGTCCAATTGCTCCTATGGGGTGGTGGATTCCCGCATGGCCTGACAGTCTTCCACCAAATGGTTGGAACTCTCGCACTACTGACGTTGAGCTACTGGAGGAGCCGACATGCATCTACTATGTATGAGGCTGTTGGGTTGCTTCAATGACTGAACAAACTCTGCCACTTCCCGTTCAAGGCCTGATCTGGTCTCCGCGGCATGAACACCTATATCCCTCAAACTCCTGCCTCTTGTGGTCGCCCCCCAAGAATGATCTCTAGAGGCCAAAGTATTGATTATCTTGTTCAACTCTGGCGTAGTCATCGTGAGAATGTCTCCACCCGGGCACAAAGACTCAATCAGACGTTGAATCTCTGGGGACAAAGCACTATAAAAGTTCCCCACGGATGCATCCCTGAAACCATGGCGAGGACACTTTCATAACAGTCCAGAATGTCGTTCCCAAGCATCTCGTAAGGATTCATCATCTTCCTAGCGAAAATGGGTGATCTCCCGCTGAATCTCTGAAGTTTTCAAGGTCGGATAGTAGCGGTGCACAAATTTGTTAGCCAGATCATCCCACGAAATGATGGACAGTGCAAGCTGAGTTTCTAGCCACCTATTTGCGTGCCCCGCCAGAGAGTGAGGGAAAAGGTGAAGTTAGATCGCATCATCTGGAACACCGTTCAACTTGAAACCTTTGGTCAGCTGCAAGAACCGAGAAAGGTGCACCCTCGCCTCTTCATCCTTGAGGCCATGAAACTGAATGGAGGTCATAATCCACTGGATCTAGCAACACTTGATCTCAAAGTTGTTAGCCGGTATGGGTGGATACTAGATGACTAGAAGGATGTTAGCGAGTAGTGGAGTGTAGAAGTACTCCATGGTGTGCTCCTGCGTAAGCAGCTGATGGTTGGCCCCGTCCGCCTGTGGATTTCCATTGTTAGGCGGAGCCTAATTCAATGGAGGAACCTGGAGAGTCATTCCCAAATGAGGCTGCTCCAGGTTCATGTTGTTCATCCGATTCTGTTCGTCTCCCATGTCGTCCTCCCGCTCGGATTCGCTGCTTATCCGATCGTCGACTTGCTCTTCCTCCGCAGTCAGTCTCACTCGCAGTGCTTTCTTAGACTCACGACAGGTCCATTTGAGTTCCTGATCCAACGAAAGTAATTCTCCCGACTGGCTACAGGTCATGCACTACCTGCACACAAGATGCATCAAACCCATGAAGGCAAAAGGGAAAATAAGTAAAAGAAAACAATGTAGAAAGGAAATGTTAAAGTAACAGAAATCACGTTTCTTCAACAACCTAACTGTCCCCGGCAACGGCGCCAAAAACTTGACTCGCCAATACGGTCACACTAGAAAGTGGCCAAGCGTGACCACAAACTAATGCATAGTATAGCGGGTTTAGCTTTAATTGTCAACCTGGGTCCTAGATGTGATGACTACTCCGTGAATTTCTCGTTATCTAGCAGTTTGAATGTTGTGAAGTTGCAATTAATCTAAGCAAACACAAAGCAGTAAAGTTGTTGTTCAAGTTCGATGGAGGCCACCCAGATATGGTTTCCCCTATATTGTAGTTAAGCCAAATTATAATTCACCAAGTTGTTATTCAAGTTTGAGAGAAATCAGCTTCAAATGCATAAATCATCATGTGGAGGATGAAATTTAGCTTCAGGTTATCAATCAAGCTCTAATGGTGTAGAAACTCGATCTAGGTCACCTTGGAGGTTGGGTTCGCCACTTTCTCTCTCTAAAATCTGTTATCATCTCTCAAACTCTAATCCCCTTCTCAAATACCTGAAATTGGGTTAGAATCCAACTTTGCCCACACGGCCGTGTAGAAATCCAGTCTGCCCGTGTAACTCCTAAAACGCGGTGTTGCACTTAGTTGGTCGAGGGAAGTCACACAACCGCGTGGAATTTAGCCTTGCCCGTGTCACTCTCCTAGAAAACCTACACGGCCAAAGGGTGCCCTTGCCTCCGATCTCAACCGTAGGTGCCAAAGAAGAATGAAAAGAAGCCCAAAAAAAAGCAAAAAAGAACATAACCTCCGATACGATGAACAGAATAAAACCATATCGAGGTCCTAATTGTACGATTTTGGTATGATGTCCTTCCAACGTGGACTCACGTAGAACATCGCGCCACCATACAAACATAGTATATAGGATAAAAATTAGGCCCAAACTGAGAAGTGTTGCACCCCCTTGAAATGAGTGCATGTACATCACACCTCCTACGGTGGTTGCCAAAGCTCCGAGTGAACCCGAAATAGGCCATGGACTTGGATCTACCAAATGATAAGAATGCCTCTGAGATTCAATCATAAACAACTTTGCCAAGGTTGTATGTAAACCCCCCCATCACCCCACACCCCCTAAAGTAGTAAAGAAGGGCTCTTTGGGGTCTAATTTGATTTCTATCTGACAGGACAAACAAATAGGAAGGGATGGTTCTTTCATTGCATTGATAGAAGTCTAACTAGAAAAAGATCTCTCTATTACTATAAATTTAGGAAGAGAATCGTTGGTTTAACCGACGAACTACATGGGAGGATCTTCTTTCTTTTCTTTTATTTTCAGAAAGCCTGGGTGGGGGTCCCTTATCCCCGTAGAATACTCTTTCCTTCTGCTAAAGTTTTTCTTATTCATTTTCTTTCCCCTTTTCTTCTTCGTCAATCTTCGGAGAATGCGGCTTTGTAGCATTGTAAGTTCTCTCTTCCGAACGACCAAGTCATAATGAGATTAAAAAACGATGCTTCCTTGGCCGTGTAGAACATGGATTAGCATTATGTCATTCCTACAAGTGATCCTTCTCCATCCAGGATTCAAAGAAGCGACATATGGGGACTTCCTTATTAAATAGAATATGTTTCTTTCCATTCCTCGTGAGCCACTTATTTCTCCAAAACAAGAAATCAAAGTAATTTTCCTTCTTTTTCCCAATAAGTCGACAGCCTTACACCATTGGGATACTTCGAATAAACTAGAGTACATATAGGATACACCGGTGCTAAACCCTTTTCTCAAAATATCTTCCAAATTCTTGGGGTCCTTGCTCCGGATGTTGTTCTCCTGGTGTGAAATTAGTTGGTTCCGTAGTTTTAGAATTCTGCTGATCCCAAGTACTCCATCTCCATCATTGCATATGAAAATATAGAAAGTAAAGAAGAAAAGGCATAACCAGAAGAATTGTGTAAAATAAGTAAATTTATCTAGTTGAGGCATGATTGATTTCGAAAAAAGAATTCCCTCCAGACAGAAAGAGAGTCGGAGTAGTTAAGAACTATAGAGAGCTGTGGTTGGTTGTTAACCAACAGAAAGCATGGGAGTCTTTGGGCATAAATGTTCCTTTCTTCTCTTACAATATTTTGAGTTGGATGAAAACAGTGCTCCTAAATGAGGCTAGCTCCTTAACATCCGAAGTAGAATATGATGGCATAGTCGGAAGAGGCTGTAACAAGGCCCTAGTCTCTGAAGCGCTGGTACTGGAGGTGAGAACAAAGCTTCCATACCGAATCGAAAAAGAAGCATTTAATGGACCATAGCATGAGATTTAATAGATCAACCTAGTCGCATATCCGCTGTCGCAAATCGGTTGTTAACGTAACCGCTGATGGAGGTGAAGTCACTTCGGTAGGGGATTCGCGATGCCATCTGTATGGTTTTTTGTTCTTTCCTCACATCGTGAATGCTGCCCTGGAACGGCAAAGCCCGTCATCTATCTCAGCACGTTGGCTCACATTGCCTTGTCAAGGAAGCCGAGATCGATGTCGGATAATAGAAACGAGGGCAGCTTTTCACATTGTAGTAAGGGAGAAGCAAAACTGGGCATCATAGTAGCAGCACTTCTTCCTGTAGATCATGTCAAATTCCCTCGTTAAACTTCTTGTATATCCGCCCTGATGCTTTAGATGCTGATCGGGATACTCTTTTGATTGATATACTTTTTATAGATCTAGAAAGAAATTCCCAGCGAGGATAATAAGCATGAACAGCGAGGATAAAGTAGCCCTATGTTCGGATCTGACAATACCATACCATAATCAAAAGGTACAACGGCCCGAGCGACCAGACTTAACATAAATGTAGCTACTGGAGCCATTCTAAAAAGGGAGAAATTAGCACTACTTGGTGAAATAGGTTCTTTTAGAATCAATTTCAAACCATCTGCTAGAGGTTGTAACAATCCGAACGATCCCACTACATCAGGACCCTTTCGACGTTGCACAAAAGCCATTACTTTACGTTCAGCTAGCACTAAAAAGGCTACTCCTAGTAGAAGTGGTAGAATTATTCCAAGTATTTCAGCTGGAACTGCTATGTACGTTTTCGATTTTCTATTCATTCATGATCTGGCCTGGTCGAGTCGACCCAATCATGATCTTGAAGGATGGGACCTTTTCTCGAAAAACCCAGGATCCCGGGAAGAGTTGACGATGGTGCAACATCAAAAATCCTCTTACGTTACTTCGAATGGAATCGTCAGCCTGCCTCACTTGCTTTCTTTACTGCATACAGATTTGTGATTGAGTCAATAAAATGCTCTGGGTCTGGAATCTCTTCTCTTTTGCATTTCCGCTTTTTCGTTCTTTCTTCGTGTCCGTTCGTATCGCAAAGCGGGTCGACGCCAGCTATAATGGTTGAAAAGAGGGGGGCCAACCAAGACCCCCTAAAAAAGCTTTGTTCGATAAAGCAAACGATTCGTTCCGACAACTTCGGATCAGATTAACCCTTTGAATTAAACGATCTTACAAAATAGATCGGGCGGGCTGGTTGGGAAGGGGTTATTAGCGGAGAAAAGAATCGCTGAGAGATAGATTATACTATTTAGTCAGGACGAATGAGTGGCTGTGCAGCATGCTCCGGAGGAGATTGACCCTTCCCCGAGTCAGTCCAGTCAGAAAGGGGAAGGCCCGCTGTCTAGACTGCATTTCAGGAGTTTGAACACCATCCCATTTCAACCAAAAAGACAACCCTGTCAAAGATATCTAACCTTCCTTATGAGTGGAAATCCAATCCCGTTTTGTCTTTTTTGCAAAAAAACCAGCCAACCGGTAATTTATATTTCTAATATATATATATTATTTTAAACCCGTTCTTCCGATCATTTTTGAAAAGCGCATAGTTTCTCTCCTCCAAAAATTACCTCTCCAGCCGGGGAACGCATGAGATATTTACCTAAACCAAGTAGGTCCTTGAGCGGATCCCACGTTAGCCCCAAGAGGTTGGTTTCTAACTAGAAAAGTAAATGCTTGAGCTTGAGTGAGAAGGGCCTCCTCCCCCCGCAGGTATTTTGCCTGTATGGTGTTTACCGGGTGGGACCCTCGATCCGGAAGGTATGCCACTATCAGCTACTATCTATATATGCTATATATGTCTGCCTCCCTTGAAAGCTCCTGGTGCTGCGACTATCACCGATAAGTTGCGTCGGATCAACATCGGGATTAGAATCAACTGCAAAAGCAACTAAGTCAACGCCTATTTGCTCTGGATCTACTGGCCCGGACGCTTGAATCTATTCCACCGCAAACAATCGAATATACTACTGCAGGATCTTCCGCTGCTTCTGTTGTTATTGCTCTCACCTGTCACTACGCCACCTCAGGAGCTGGGACTGGAACTGCTTTCGCATATGGCACTCCCCAACCTTTTCTATCTATCCTTATAAGTAGGATAAAAAAGTGTATAAAGACCGGGTTATCTCTCTGAATCAGGTTATTCACTGGGCTGTTAAGCCAAAGAGTCTTCTAGGGTTGATCGATCCGTTTCAAGAGGATTCATCCAAGACTGACGATTTCGTTAATTCTAAGGAGGAACCTATTCCATAAGGAAGATGAGAGGAAAGCAGGCTTGAAGGCATACATAGTTGGCTGGTTATTTCTCTTTCCTATCCCTGCTGCTACTGCAAACCTACATTCAGAGAATCTCTGGTAGAGGGGAGTCGAGAAAAATGCAGTAGGAGTAGCTACTTCTTTCATGGCTTTAATTTGAGCTTCAGATTCTGAATCTCCATAAATGGGTATGGGTATGACTGGTTAAGGTGACCAGCTTTGCGCGGCAACCGCAAGTTAAGGTACTTTGGATTTGTTATAGCGCCACCATTTCACAATATATATTGTCCGGGAAAGCTAGTCTTGGGATTGCTGTTTTATCCTACTGGCGCTCTTCTATGAAAGTTGAGGCTTTACTCTAACTGGTCTGTTAACGTCTCCTTGCTACGGCCTTTTTTAATATCCCTAACTTGGAGGGTTACTCGAATCTTTCGTTTTTGTACTCTACTCGTTCCTTGAAGGTGTCCAATTAATTAATAGTAATTTGAGGACGGTTAGTGTCTGTTCTGCATGACTCTGGAACGTTATAGCTAAGGAGCGGATTTCAGGGTCCCTTGACTTGCCAAACGGTTTCCAGTATGCTTATAAAGTGAGTCTTTAAACACATGATCGTGACAGCCGGGTTATCGACGATTCTACAATACAATAGGCGGCCGCTGGAAAACCCGACTTAGCGAATCACTTCCAGGCTGGCATTAAATCTATCTCGTGCCAGTGGCTCTTGTTCGCCTCATTTATGTTGGTGGCATACCGTACCGTATTGTGCTGAACACTCACAAAAGCCGTGGCCTTCCGCGTAGTTAGACCTTATCCTAGAAGTACAATGGTTGGTCCCTCCGGAACTGGTAATCTTCGTTTGACTTGAAAGGAGCCGTGCAAGAAGGCAGGGATATAGCAAGTATTCTTTCACAAGTTTGACACAAGTCGTACCTCCCAGCCCCCTTAGCTACTTGTACTAAAAAACTAGGACGCTATACGGAAGTTCGTGCCTGCTTATCCCGGCTACAATAGCCATAGCTTGAACATTAGTCTGCCGCTTTCTTACTAAAAAGATTGCCTCAGTTCGGATTGCAGAGTAGTACGGACGATCTACCGGCAAGGGAACTCATGAGTGGCGACAGTTCTCTTATTCGCAGCTCTTTCTTTCTCCCTCTAAAGCCCAAAGCCCTTCGCTTCGCTCCACTCATTTTAGCATTTCTAATCAGACCTGGCTGAACTGGGAACGACATAGATCAAAGGGTCGTTCATTAGCCCTACTAGTAAAGCACAGGAAAAAGAGGGATTGATTAAGTAAGAAAGTCACAACCATCGAGTCCTTCCTTACTTTGAGGCTCAACACTTAAAAGTTCCTTGCTTTTAGTCTGAAGATCGTTTGGCTCACGCTTTCTGATGAAGGACAGGTCCTGCCCCCTTCCTGCAGTCTATTCAACAGATCGCGCACATAATTCCGGATTTTTAGCAGGAAGCTCTTCTGATTGACTGGCATTTTTTTTACAAATGAGACGCTTTCTTTCCATATCTCCCAGTATACTAACTATTGCCGGTAGCGCTGCCCATACTCTTTTGGACTTTATAATACTAAGCTTGTCTTTGATGTCAATCTGGTTCTGCCAAACCTGGTTTACAATCTTCCTGCATGAGGGTTTTTTGAGCCAGTCCCGTTCTAACTGAACGGAATAGGACCAGGTAGGTAGGAGGTTGTCTTTCTCAACGTGGTGTATAGCACGCAAAACCATTCACAAGGTTTCGCGTCAATCAAGTGTCAATGGTGTGGCACGCGTACTTGATCGAGTCTTTGCCCGCGAGACTGAAAGAAGGATTTTTTTACCAACGTCGGGAAAGATGGTTATGGAAAGCTTATCATGACATCGTTTATCGCGGTTCATGTGTGGCTGCTCGTTCTTTCTTGCCTTTCCTTGTCCAACTGCCAGCGATCTAGTTTCTGCGGGTAGTTGTCCCATCCCCCCTGTTGCCCTTGTAGAAGGAGTTGATAGTGACGGGGCTACTACGGATGGAAACTTCAACCTTCGCCCTCCTTTCAAACAGTCTCTTCTTAGACTAGGGATTTTGGGTTAAAAGAGCAGGTTGGTTATAGGGTTCGCAGACAAGCTAGTATTAAGCTTAATCTAATCCATTGGGAGAAAGTTTACAGCCTTTGAGAGTGTCTTTCCAGGCGAGTTCTCTTACCCAGCCTATGAATTACCGGAGAGCCTGTTTCAGTGGCAATTGCTTTCGTTCTTTCTGTGAATTCTGCCATAAAGGCAGTCTCTAAGAGAGGTAGTATAAATTGAATTTAGCCGATACAGAAAAAAAAAACGTCAATAAAAGCTGCAGGCTTTATCCCTCCATATCATATGCATTACCTATAGCATTCGACCCCTTCCTCTTTGTAGGAGTTCATTTATTTCTACTCATTTCGTCCTACCAGCTAGTTACCGTTCCTCTCCTTTCAGTCGAGCTACTTCGTTCCTCTCCAGGCGGTTTGATTGGAGTTCCTTTTTTTCCCTTCCATTTAGAATCTCTTGCAGTCAGCGCCACTTTCTGGCTATTCAGTTATAGAAAGTTAAAGCCATAGAGTTTTATTTTAGTACTAAGTACCTTCTGTAGTAAGGCTTTTCAGGCAATATAGTCAGACAGTGTATCTGTGCTTCCTCCAGCAGGGGATAAAGCTAGAGATATAAGTGGCCCGCATATTTTTTAGGCCATGTGAACCACATACTCAACAGCTGAGTGGACATTACGATGACGGAAGTGGGCTAATGCTCGGCGGCTAGTCTTGGCATGCTTGACTGTAGAGTAAGGCTGAGCATTGGCACCATTTCTTTTCGGCTTAGTAAGCTAGCTAGCTGGCAGACCTATCCTATTACGATGAAAGTAGTGATCGAAAATAGTGATGTCTAGAAAAGTCCTATTTCCCTCTCGTAATGTCCGTCCGCTAGTCCATTATATGTAGGGAATGGGGATTCGTTGAAACGAGTTAAGTGCCCAGTACATCCATTGTATATGTTCTACTCTTGATAGTTCGTTTACCGGGTATCTATGCCAACAATTTTTGTGAAAATAGGAGGCAGTTATGGGCTGATCTTTCAAAAAGAATTGATTGTCAGGATGGTGTTAGGTGATTTCCCTTGCATAAGGATTTTTTCGGAAAAAAAGAGGCGGAGTTCCTACACCAACTAGATATATCATGAAATTCAATGCAGCTATAGAAAGAGCTGGTCTTGTCGAACCCGGATGGGAAGGGGCAGCTTTCACCTGGACGGATGTAATTCACCCCTTTGGCGCAATCCCGGTGCGGCGTCATCGACTGGTTACGGTGGCCTAAGTCAATCTAATTCCAGTCTTTTCATTGGTCAAATGAAGGAAAACTAGCCCCCACAAAGCAAGAGATACGGAGAAATTTTCT